AAGCGATATCCCCTGGGGCTTGGTCTTCCTAGCGGCCTAATGGTCTAAAGCACTGTCAGACTGTACCCTTATGAGAAAGAACTATGTTGGGTGATTCCCTTGACATCCAGAAACACTAATTGGAAAGATGTGCACATCCTTTCAGATGTCTTTACTTTCATACTATACCACATTTATTAATCAAATATTCTGATTCAGGGAATTCATTTTATGAATTTTTTATTTTTAAAACGATTACTGAGCAAAATTATAAACCTTGTATATCTTGTGTAGTTTTAAACTAGATCTTGCTGAAATAATGAGACATACTATATACTTAGAAATCCATGCCATTTTGGAAAGTTTTTTTTTTTTTAAATAACTTCACTTCAAAAAAAACTTCCACTGGTGATGGTTGTACAACTCTGTGAATTTACTAAATTCCTCTGAATTATACAAAGAGTGAATTGTGTGGTATGTGAATTATATCTTAATAAAGTTGTTAATTAAAAAAATTTCACTTCACAAAATGTTTTCATAGGTACAAAGTAATAGAATTTTCATTTATATTCACAATAAAAAAAATTAGTAGCCCTAACAGCTGGGCATGGTGGTGCATGCCTATAATCTTAGCTACTTGGGAAACTGAGGCAAGAGGATCATTCATTCAAGGATGGCCTGGGTAACATAGTAAGACCCTGTCTCAAAAAATATTATTAGCTCTAATAAACGTTCAGAGCTTTAGAAACGTAAAATTATGTATGACTTAAAATAATTTGTGTTTCTATTCAAAAGTAATTCATGTTTATTATAGAAATTTCAGAAACTATAAAGAAAAAAAGGTGCTTAAAAATAGCGAATCATATTCACATCTAGCATGTGTATTCCTAAACATTTACTTCTTAACTGTTTTCTTTGTGTCCATACTTTGCCAGCTTTCATGAGCAAATATCTTTTCAGGACCATTTTAGGAAAATAATCAGCTGTAAATATTTTGTTACATAAGAAGTCTAGGGAAAGCATTGGCTTTTTTCCGTGGACCATGAGAACTGTATATGAAGGGAAGCAATAGCATTATCTAAAAAGAAATACAATAAAGATATACTAGCTTTTGAACTAGAGTCAGTCTGAAATATTATAAAAATTTGCCATAAAACATTTTGGATTTAAAATTAAAACTGAAATTTTTGATAAATTATATTGACACATTGATTCTTTTGTAGGTAGAATATTTTTCTGCTTTTAAAAAGACTCTTGTTATCATATTTAGCATTAACTTTCTAACAGCTAAAATTGTTCACCACAGTGTTTAAAGATCAGGCTTTAGGTTTTTTTTTTTTGTAAATATTAAGACCTGAGTACAAAATGAGGGCTGTATTGTGGATTAAGTGAAATATCTCAAGGCTGTGCTGTTCTGATAACTGAACCTGAAGTGACCTTTCTCAGACACAATTACAGAGCTGTATGTTTTTCCTTTAATTTCATCAGGGGTTTAATTAGTATACAAATAAAACTTCCCTTATCTTCCTTTCTACCTAATTGGCTTGTCTTCGCTTATATATGAAGTATGTGAAAGTGGGCTGTAATTAGGGTGACCGTGTTAACCTTTTTTCCTCAAATGTACTGTTGCCTAAAGGCCTCAAGGCCTAAAAACAGTGCTTTGGATTATTGCTTTGCAATCACTATGGCTGTCCCATAGGTTTTCTCATGAGCAGAAGGGCTTTGGGTGCTGCAGGTTCCCACTGCTTAACAGGATCTTCATTCTTCTCCCCACTAAATGTTTATTGATTATCTCACTGTTCCAGGCTCAGCCTCCAACAACTTAATATCAGGTGACAGTCAGGAGAGTTCTCCAAGTAATTAGAGTTGAGCATTGGGGGAACAATTAGGAGCAGAGTTATTAAACTTGATTTATCCTATTCTCTCCTGAACAGTTTCTTGGATATCAGAACATCACACTTTCACAATCTACCCTGGTTGAGAAATTAGTGGCTAACCTGCTGCTTATCATTGTTGCCTTGCTGCCTAGAGGCACACCCTCTTGGTTTCAGTCATTCAGTTGGCAATATTAGAGTCCATAAAGTTTATCATGGGTTTTAATTAGATGAATCTGAACAGAAGAGAAGAAAAGCTGAACTTATTTTTTATACGTATAGTATATATTTTATATATGATATAAATGTAAGCATATACACACCTCTATTTTTCTTAAATAATTAGATACTTCAAAGGCAAACTGAAGAGTCCTATATAGTATTCAAAAATATTTGATTCTAAACTAACATACACCTCACAATTCAGTCCTTTATTATTTATAACCTAGACTGTTGATGTGCCCTATCTTATACCTTAGTGTAAAGAAAGATCTCAGAATATATTTATAATCACTTTAAATAAAAAAAAATTTCTTTAGAGTTTGGTGTTAGGTTTTTTAAAGATTCAGTTTTTATCATTAAAAAACGGTGAATTTTGAGCCACTTATTATATATTGGTGTTTTGTATACATCCCATAAACCTTGATGAATACAGATTCCTTGATGGTACCCCTCAACTCTTTAAGATGGAAATTGTATGTCTATAAGTTATGTAACTGTGATTTAAAAATAAGAACTATATTGTTTCTTAATTTTTACATTTGAGGAAGTATGATTTATATCACTTTGTTTATACCACTTTTTGTTCCTTTTCTATGCCACTGTCTACTGTTAGCTTTAGAATAATGTGGCTTCCTGTCATTGCTCCTGAGAGATGAAAATTAAAGAATGGAAACAAGATTTAGATATATAGTAGAAGGTTCTAATGCCATTAGTTATATCTTATTTGAAAGTATAATGTAAGATTGCTGAAAGTATAGGTTTACAATGGTCTAAGTTCATAGACTCTCTCAGATTGGACCAGTGACCTTCAACCTGGATAACCCTGGAAACAATATACTGAACCCTGGAGAGTCCCTTCACAAGTATGCACCTCTAGTCATGAGAGTTACTGAGCAAGAGAATTTGAATAGCTTGGAATAAATTTATTATTTAGTTGGAAAAAGAGTTCAAGCTTTATGCATGACTCGTGGTGAATCATTAGTTTTATCTTCATAACTGAAAACTACTATTTTTTTATTGCCTGGAAGATATTGGAAATACTGATTTTTAAAAGGACTCAAATGAGGTTTTTTTTTTGTTGTTTTTTTTAAATAAAGAAGTCTTGTGATACTTCAGTGCTTTTATCTATCAATATTGGCACAAAATTAGTAGGTTTAGAGTATTTTAAAAAAAATTTGTTATTTATTGTTTTATAAAAGTTGATTTGAATCAGTGATTATTTCCATGGTGGAATATTCTTTTTAAAATTTAAAGTATATTTAATTTTTAACTGATATATAAAACCATAAAATGGTACCTACTTATGAATTATAGATAATGTTTCACTACATGTATACATTGTATGATGTTTAAATCATGTTAAGCATATCTGTCTCCTCAAACATTTATCTTTTTTATGATGGAAATATTTGAAGTTCTTTCTCCTAGTATTTTTGACATGTATGGTACATTATTGTTATCTATAGTCACCTTATTGTACAATAGCATAAACTTTGTGCTTCTGTCTAACTATAACTTAAACTATAGGTCAACCTTGGACTATTCTTGAAGATGTGTTAATACTAAAGATTTAAAATAAAATTAAATGCCTAAGAAGTAATCACAGCTTGATTATTTTTAATATCTTGAATACTATTTGTCTAGCAACAACTTGTCTGCTTGAAAAATGAGATACTGAATTAAAAATCTTGTAACATTTTAAAATACCTGATTTGACTGATGATTTCTTTCAGTTCACCAGCATTTACAGTGAATTAATTGTATTAGCTCCAGGTAGTCAACTTGATATTTTATACTATTCATTGTGAATGCAATAAAAAAAGATACTTTTAGAAGAATTTTAAATATGAAATTATAGAATGTTGTTTATTCTTTACTGGGTTTGTGGAGCACTGTTGTGGATATTAATGTGTAGATAAACTCTGAGCAAAAAGAAAAATATTATGTGTATAATATGTGTTTGATTCACTGTACAACAAGTTTAATTGAAAAACTTTTAAATGTGCTTATTTTAGGGATTCCATAAGCAAAGTAATAAACAGTGTAGGAATCAGAAGATCTCTTAACACTAAACATCTATTTTGCACCCTAGAATTTTAAATGAGATCTAGAAAGTACTCTTTTAAATTGTTTGTGGTTCTAAGACCATTGGCCCTAAACTTTCCAAATAATGTTGTGTGATTGTATCTTGAGATTTTTGTCCTAAGTGAATATTTCAGATTAAAACAAATATCAGTAAACAATAATATAAAAACTTCCTGAAATATAAAATATTTTCTGAGGAAAACATTTATGGGCCACAAATAATTTTGAGTGCAAGTATTGTTTTTAACTTTCTCTAAAAGTTGAAGCATTTTGATCATATTTTTATTACTATTCTTGATATGAAAGAAGCAATTGAATTTTTTTGGAGTCTAATTTGTCCACTTAGATGTCTACAGCAACCTATTATGGACAAATACATAAAGAAAGTAGAGAGTTCACTACTCTTTTCTAGGTATCTCCTAGTCTACTTACCAATTATACACTCAACTCTGGGCATCTGATAGCTCTTCAGCTCTATTTATAGTTAAATAGACTCTAAATTTAAAGGGCTTTGTCCCCTGAAATTGACTTTTATTATTATTAAAAGAAAACACGACTTGAGATTTCTATAATCAGACAGTTTTAGTAAGAATACAGTTTATCTTGCAGTACTTTAAAAATGTTATATTTTATAGGCAAATATTTTTAAAAATCTTACCAGTTCTATTATTTCTAATTAGCAAATATAATTTTTTTTTTGTAGAAAATTTGTTAAATCTTGACGTGTAATGACCCAAGTCTACTTCTCAGTCTGTATTCTACTTTGTTTAATATCCTATGGCATAAATTGAAGTTAATTATCAGGGCTGACAAGTAACTCTGTTTTCTGTCTGTTTGCAGAGTCTCTCCGAGGCAAAGATGGAGCTGAGAAGAAAAGATCAATCTCTGCGTCAGCTCAATAGACATCTTACCCAGCTGGAGCAGGACAAGCGTCGACTGGAGGAGAACATCCATGATGCAGAGAGTGCCCTCCGCATGGCAGCCAAGTGAGCATTTGGACCTTGGGGAGATCACTTAAAACAGACAAAAGATCAATTCTTACTTTCATGCTCTGGGTTTTAGCCCTGGATAATACAGTGTTAGAAAACAAAAGTACAGCTGTCTTTCTTTGAAATTCTCTGATATATCCTTGAAGAAGAAAACTCTTAACTCAACATAATAAATGTATATTTTATTGAGAAGCCTAAGAAAAGTATAAGCTCTATATAACCTCTACGTGCGTTTTGGGCTGTGTTGCAGTGTTACATGCTTGAAACCGTGTTTTCAGTAATTAAAATGTAAGACTTTTTAGTTAAAAGTTTTGCATAGTGTCTACTGACACATATTACTTATCTCCTTCTGCCCCCCCCCATTTTGCTCTTATTGTAATATACTAATATTGCAAGTAATATTTGTATAAGGAAATTTTAGCGTATGATCAACATGTATACCATGACATTTTAAAAATGCACCAAACCATTATTGATCTTGGAAAATTAATTTAATTTTATAGCTGTATATTCCATGTAAAATAGAAAAAAATACAGTTTTCTAGAAGACAACTATGTAAATGTGGTGAGAGTGTTTTTCCTTTACCAGATAATCAAGTTGACATACACTATGAAGTTCAAATTGAACAGTTCTCTTGGGCATTTTTATTTGTTTCCCCACAACAAATTTGATATACTACCCTTTGCATACACCATGACTTACAGGAAGTCTATTTAGAATGGGAATGTATGAATATGTAACAATAAATCCCACCAGTATGTACAACTACAATATGCTCATAAAGAATAGAAAAAAAAATAAAAACCCTCTCACAAACAGTAAAAAAAAAGAAAAAAAGGAAAGTCTATTTGAGAGTTAAAGAGACATTGATTTTAATAAATTTAATGTCTAAATTTGGAATTCTGAATTTCTACACAAAATACATGATAATTAAAAAATTTTCAGACAAACTTGTAAGCATAAAATATTATGAATTATGAATATAGTCTGTACACTACAGAATATAGTCTGTAAATCACAGAATAGGGAATCTGCAATCTTAGGATATCCATAATCTTTGCCTTTGGGCTTTTGGCATTGCTGAAAGATAAAGATGAATTGACACAAAATCCAAATATTGACGTTTGAATATCCACCAGTTGGTTTTTTGAAATTTGTAAAGCTGTGCATCATCTTGTTAGGTGTATATAATTGTCTTTTTTAAAAATATAAATTTGGCTAAATCAGTTTTTGCTGCCCTGTTCAGTCTCAGTTTTCTCATTTCAAGTGAAGAAGCTAAGCCTAGATAGTTTCTAGTAAGTCTTATGACTGAGTAAATTCTGAGATTAATGAAAACAGGATTATAAAAACCTCCTGATTTCTATTGTGTTTTCACAACATTGCTGTTGATTCAGGACTTTGATATTTCTATGATCTTTGACCATGGGCATAGTTCTTATAAAACCAAGAAGGCTAATTTGAAATTTGGAGAGCTAATACATTATTTACAGTTTTCAATTTATAATTTACTATTAAGTTTTTGGCTTCAGCAGTTTCACTCAAACTTTTTATTTCATTGTAAGGGCTAGATGGAATATACAAGGTCAATAGGAGAGAGTAGTAATTTTGTATATTACTAGTCAGGTCATAGGATTATTTGTACAATTATTGTTTTGGTCAGCCTTTTGCTGCTGTGACCAGAAGACATGATGAGAACAATTAGAGAAGGAAAAGTTTATTTTGGGGTTTCGGTTTTGGAGTTATCAATCCATTCCTTTGCTCTGGGCCAGAGGTGATGCAGGAAATCTTGATGGAAGAGTGTAATGGAGGGAAGCAGAAAGAGACTCCACTCACCAGGGACAAAATATATACCCCAAAGGCATACCCACAATGACCTATTTCCTCCAGCTGCACCCTATCTGCCTTTCATTTACTACCCACTCAATCCCTACCAGGGAATTAATTAACTGATTGGGTTAAACCTCTCATAACCTGATCATTTCATCTCTAAACTTGCATTGTCTCAAACATGGGCTTTTGGAAGACACCTTACATCTAAACCATAATAATCATTACAGCACAAAGACTACATAGAAAAAATATTTTGCATGGTATGACCATTTATGTAATATTTCCCCACCAGTGAGATTTTAAAAGTTTTTTCATTATTAAAAAAAGAATAAGACTTTTTCCAGAACTTAAAAAAATTATCTATAATGTAATCATAACTTTTGTTTTCATTTTCTTAATTTGTGTCTAACCCTGCCCCCAACCCCTGCTGCCCAATTAGGATAGGCAAAATAAGTTAGTAAAGAGTTAAGTATGAAGGTGTATCAGTGAATATGGTTAGGTTTTATAACTTTAAAAGGGGTACAATGATAGCCAAATCTTATTTTTCAATAATTGTGACTTACACTGAAATGTATGATGGTTGTAGGAAGACTTCGTTTTTTACCAATATCTAATCTTTTCTTTTTTCTAGAGACAAAGAATGTGTTGCTAATCACATGAGAACCATAGAAAATATGCTTCATAAGGTATTGTAATATTTTTAATATTGTTCAATTTGTACTGCTATACTTTTAATCATTATTAACTGCAAAGTGATTCATTTTGTACCTGTCTTTAAAAACAAATTACCAAAAAGATACTTTGGAAATGACTGGAATTTTGCAATATAGAATGCCATATTACATTTTTTTCCCCCAGAATTCACTTTAGGTACTTAATAAAAACTGTTAAAATAGTGTTTTCCCCAAACTGGTATGTTGCACTTGCATTATTTGTGATTTTTGCTAAATGAACCAGAGGTCATTAAGATTCTTATATGTTTCAGAATGATAAAATGTTTGACCATACGGTCTAACTTTACCATTTCTAACTGTCCTGTTTATGCATATGTAGAGACATATTTTTATTTGGCAATATTATATACCTGCAACTAGGCAGTAATGTTATTCAAATTAATAACATTCTTATACCTTCTTACGTATAAGAATATGTTATTAAAGTGAATAATATATTTTATCTATTACTTTCAAATTTGATGACTTACAAATGATAAACTATTAATTTGTAGTGATGAGCAGCATAAGGGTTTTATAATATTAGTGAAAACTCAAGATGTTAACTGACTGTTTTGTAGCACTCTATTGGATTAAAAGATTTATTTATTATTTAAAAGTAGAGAAGTGATATTGATGTATTTCTGATATCATTTAAGAGACAATTTGTTGGAAATGCAAACATCTAATACTATTAAGATATTTGGAACTTATGAATAAATCACACTTAGAACAGTTTTGTGAATCAAATTTATGAGATATTGTAGTTTTATAAAAATCACTTACAGTATCCTGAAACTAACCTTTTTAAGGAGATATTAAATAAACATTATCAAGCTAATATTTAATACATTTTAACAGTTTAGGACACTTTTTCCCCCCTGTACGCACACCCATATGTGCATGTGTGGTTCTGGGGATCAATCCTAAGTGCTTTGTGCATTCTAGATAATCATTTTACCACTGTGCCACACCCTGGGCCACAGCTTACCATGTTTGAATACACTGGTCCTATTTTACATTATGAAATTGCCTAATATTATGTCTTATCACTAAAGGCATTTGGAAACAAATCTAGTATTTTGAGTTCTATTTTCTTATAAGTTTCTTTGAAGCCCTGGTTTATCCCTCTCCCCATTTCAAAACATTTAGCCGGTTAGGATAGTTTAAATATAGTCTCATCAAATCCGTGTATGCTACAAATATAAATTTGGATTTTCAGTGAAAGAGACATCTTTGGTTAGATTTTCATACTCAATAAATTTGGGATGAAAAAGTCTACGATGTCATATATGTGGCATATCTTTTATGCAGTTAATGTTGACTTTGAAATCCAATTGTTCATCTTCCTAGCTGAAAGAATAAAGAATGTTAGGTAGCAACTAACTTGGAGAACGGGCTCTGAGGTCAAGGAAGAACCATCATTTATATGATATATAATTGTACTTCTCCTTTCCTTATGAGAATGGCAAAGTAGATGTTTTGAGAATGATAAAGGCTGGTTGCAACAGGGTGATTATTATCACACAGTTTTTTAGTTGTAATTCAACTGCTGGTCTTTGTGTCAGATGGAAAGATGTGTACAACTGGCCTACAGCCTCTATAGATTTAATTTTGCTTTATGGCTTTTTCCTCCTTCAGATTTATTAGTTAATTATTTTGGTTTGTGTCTTTGGGAATTTCTATCTATGTAGTGTTTTTAAGTAATCAAAAACTTTTAAAGCTTGCAGTAAAAATTTAGGAAAGGCTAATAGATAATTAGGACAAATTCTCTTTATACTTTCTTTGAAGTATAGGTGAGAATGAATAGGTGATAAGGAAGTGGCCAGAGGGTCCCACTGAAGCTCTCTGAGAGGTGCAGGCCCACATGTCTTTATGCCTGAGTTTGCAGGTTTATTTTTCTAGCCACCTTGAACTTTCCCTTGTCATTTCGCTGTCTCAGGTTAACAAAGAGGAGTAGAGAAAAAGGGCCCAGATTCTTTCCATTTTTGCATGCATGGATTCAACCAACCACAGATTGAAAATATTTGAAACAAAAATTGCATCTGTACTGAACATGTACAGATTTTTTTCTTGTCATTATTCCCAATACCATAGAGTATAACTATAATGTTATTTATATAACATTTACATTGTATTAGGTATTATAAGTAATCTAGACATGATTTAAAATATACAGGAGGACCTGGGGTTATAGCTCAATGATAAAGCATATGCTTAGCATGCTTTGGGTACTGGGTTCAATCCAGCACCAAAAATTGAAATAAAATATGTAGGAGGATTTGTGTAGGTTATATGCAAATATGTGAGCATCCTTGGATTTTGGTAAGTTAGCCGGGCAGGGAGACTATATTTTTTTTCAAAGAAGCAGAAGTTTTATTCAATTACACCTAAATACATTTTTATTTATGCCAGTTTTTAATGTAGGTCAGGGGTTAATTTTTCATTAAGATACTCTTTTATTGCCGGGGGTCCAATTTCAGGTTCAGGGGTTAAGAAAAATAAGAGGAAACAAAGTCATTACAACTTTTTATGACATGCATTTTTTTATCTTATCTATCTATCTATGTATCTATCTATCTAGTTATTTATTTGTTTATATCAGAGATTGAACCCAGGGGTTCTCAACCACTGAGCCACATCCACAGCTCTTTTTATTTTTTATTTTGCGACAGGGTCTCACTAAGTTGCTCAGGGCAACTTGAACTTGTGATCCTCCTGCCTTAGTCTCCCAAGCCCCTGGGATTACAGGCATGTGCCACTATGCCCAGTTGATGGGTATTTTAAAAATACACTCACTCCTCTATTGAGTTGAATCTTTTGGCTGATTTTTATTTTTTCAGAAAATCCGTAATTATAAAACTTTTTGAGAGACCATTCACCATTTTAACCATTTTAAAGTACATAATTCAGTGACTTTCTTTATGTTCACAGTGTAGCGTAACCATCACAATTATCTTACTCTGGAATGTTAATATTACTCTAAAGAAACCCTATACCCATTAAGCAGTTACTTCTTATATCTCTTTCCCCTACCTCCTGACAAACATTGATCTGCTTCTATCTCTATGGATTTTCCTATTCTGGACATTTTGTATAAATAGAATCATGCAATATGTAGCCTCTGTTGCCTGAATTTTTTCATTTAGTATAATTTATTCAAGGTTCATTCATTTTGTGGCATGTATTAGTACTTCATTTCTTTTTATCTCTGACTGATATTCCATTGTAAGGATATATAACATTTTATTTATGCACATGTCAGCATGGGCATTGTTGTTTCCACTTTTTGGTTACCATGAATAATGCTGCTGTGAATACTGATGTACAAACTTTTGTTTCAATGCCTCTTTTTAGTTCTCTTGGGGATGTAGCTAGGAGAGGACTTACTGGATCATATGATAATACTATGCCTAACTTTCTGAGGAATGACCAAACTGTTTTCCACAGTGACTGTGCCATTTCAAATCCCCACTAGTGTGTATGAATGTTCCAGTTTCTCCACATCATTACCCATACTTGCTATTTCCATTTTTTAAAATGGCTATCCTGGTGGGTATGAAACAGTAGCTCACTGTGGAGTTTTTCTTTTTATTGTAATTATTCAATCACATTAATGGGCTTTACTATGACATTTCTATACATATATACATTATGCTTTATTTTATTCATCCTCCCTCTACTTTCTCTTCATCTCTCTTCTTGCCCTCCTGCCCCATTCCTTTCCCAATTGTCTCTCTTCTATTTTTCAGTTATCTTTTGTTTGTTTGTTTCCACATAGAAGAAAAAAACATGTCTTATATCTGGCTAATTTTGCTTAATATGAAAACCTCTAGTTCTGTCCATTTTGCTGCAAACTATGTGATTTTATTCTTCTTTATGGTTGAATAAAACCCCATTTTGTATATACAGTTTTTTAAAAATTCATTCATCTGTCAGTGAGCCCTAGGCTGATTCCATATCTTGGCTATGTGAATATTACTGCAGTAAACATGGGCATTCAGATATTTCTTTTGTATGCTGACTTTATTTTTCTTTTTGTGGGGAGGTATATATTTTCCAGGAGTGATATATCTGGACTGTATGGTAGATCTATTTTCTAAAAAATGAGGACACTTTTTTGAGGAAACTCCATACTGTTTTCCATAGTGGCTGTACTAATTTACATTACCACCAACAGTGTACAACAGTTCTTTTTTCTTCACTTTCTCACTATCATTTATTAATTTTTTTTGATAATAGCCATTCTGACTGAGGTGAGAAGGAATTTCAGTATAGTTTTGATTTGTATGTCCCTGTTGGCTAAAGATGTTAAATATTTAAAAATATATTTATTGGTCATTTATACTACTTTTTAGAAGTATCTGTTTAGATCTTATAGGTTGGATTACTTTTCTGTGGTTAAGTTTTTTTAGTTCTTTATATAATTTGGATATTTGTCCTCTATTATTTATTTATTTTTAAAGAGAGAGGAGGGGGAGAGGATTTTTTTAATATTTATTTTTTAGTTTTCGGTGGACACAACATCTTTATTTTATGTGGTGCTGAGGATCGAACCCAGCGCTGTGCGCATGCCAGGCGAGCGCACTACTGCTTGAGCCACATTCCCAGCCCTGTCCTCTTTAAATGAAGAACTGGCAAAGATTTTCTCCCATTCTGTAGACTGTCTCTTTACTCTGTTGATTATTTTATTTGCCTTGTGTTCTTTGTTGTTAATTTGACATAATACCATTCATCAGTTCTTGCTATTATTTCCTGAATTATTGGAATACTACTTAGAAATCATTGCCTGTGCCAACACCTTGAAGTGTTTCCCTTATGTTTTTATCTATTAGTTTCAAAGTTTCAGATCTTACATTAAGGTATTTGATCCATTTTGGGTTTATTTTTTGTACAGGTGAAAGATAGTGACCTTTTTTCAATCTTGTATGTGTGGTTATCCAGTTTTCCCAGCATCATTTGTTGAGGAAGCT